AGTTCTTGATATCAGACAGGCTAATTCCTAGTCAAGTTCGATAACATCATCTAGAATTGAGTTAAAATTGGCTAGAAACTTTAATTCTATAGTTGATTCATATAGCTAAAATTGATTGGAAAAAGGCTTGGAAATCTATTTTGGGTATTGTTTCGATTTTACACCAGAACCCCCAAATTGGCTTTACTAAATCTCTCAAACTTTCATTTACTAAATCTTCTAAATCGAAATCTTCACTTTCTAAATTTACTACTTTATCTTGATTATTATTTTCATTAAAATTTGTATTATACTATTATTATTAAAATTAATAGCATTTAAATCCAAAGTTGCAATAATATTTAAACCAACATCTATTACTGTTTCTAAATCTTCTTTAAGATCTATATCAACATCATTTTCATCTTCATCTTCGTCTAATTCATCATTAATTGAATCAGTTAATAATCTAATCATTTCTTTAACAGACATCTTTTCTCCAGTATAATGTAACTCATTTTGCATTTCTAAAATACAAAATCTTTGAATTTTAGCTATAGCTTCAAGTCAGAATATAGATAAGATAGTATGATGAGTACCCATAAACCAGCCTAAAGTGGAAAAAAGTCTTTCACATGAAGCACTATATGGTGTCATACCAAAAATACGAATAGCTATTGTTTCAAGAAAATTGGGAAAAGATTTGCATGTCATCCACCAAATTAAAGGAGTATTATAATTCTCAGCATAAGGTAAATCAAATGGTACTTGTTTTAAATCAAATTTGCGTATTTGAGCAACCAAAGTTTGACAATCAGCCTTATTATGCCCCATATTTTTTAGCATTTGTGTAGCAATTAAACTCAATCGACGAAAAAGTGTTGGTTTTAAACCTTGCCCTAAAATTTTTAAGTTAATTAATAATAATATAATATAATATAATATAAGTATAATAAAACTTATCTCTATATTTAGGATGTAAGAAATAAGCAAGTAAATATAAGTCATCATCAAATTTTTCATATCTTCTATTGAATAACTCAAATAATTGATTACAGAAACTAATATTATGATTAATAGAAAGATTATTAATTGCAACAGCAATTTTAATCATTGTCATAAAGCAATCTGCTAAGTTTGAATTATGTCCTTCAACTTCAAATATATCATCACGAATTGGTTTTAATATATCAGCTACAATTTTACAATGTTGATAAAATTCATCCCAGCACAAAAGTTGCTTTATACTATAATTAGTAAGCAAATCAGAATAATTATCTGAAATCTATTAAAAAAAAGTTTGATTTTAATAATAAATACTAAATATTAAATAATAACAAATAAAATAAATAATATAAAATAAACTTACTGTAATTAAACAAATACGTAATCTCCAAATTGATTCAAGATGATCATAATATATATGCCATCTAGTACTAACATATTTTTTTAATCCATCGTCTTGTACATTATTTGCTTTAATTAATTTTTGTAATTTTGCATTTGGTTGATGAGATGCATTAAAAAATCTTACAACTATACTTGCTTGATTAATTATTCTTTTAACAAATGTCAAACCAGTAAAATCTTTGATAATAAGATTTAATCTATGTATGATGCAAGAAACATTTGATATATATGGAAATTTTTCAGAAATTTTCTCTCATGCGATATGACAATTTGGCCCCCTATCAGTAACTATAGCACAGAATTTTTAACTCCAATTTCTGTAATTATTGTTTCTATTTCATTAGCCAAAAATTCACCAGTATGAGATACTGATGAATAATCTTTAAGTTGATACAAATACTCTTTTCGATCAGGTGTTAGAATAATAAAATTCCAAATTGAATTATTTTTTGCTGTAGTCCAACCATCTAACGCTAAATTTAATAAAATTTAAAATTTAAAAATTATAATTTAGTTTTTTTTAATTACATAAATAAATTTTTTAAATAAATAAATAATAAAATATAAAATAATATATATTACCAAAAGTTAAATTATTAAATTGTTGGAATGCATTTTGTTACTTTAAAATAACCCGGGAAAGTTTTTTATCAACTAATTTTCCAGCAAGTGTTTCTTGTGATGGTAGTATAAATACAGGACGAAGTTGATGAAATAATTCAATTATATATGGATTTTTTATGACAAGAAATGGTAATCCAGCACAAATAAATGCTTATACTATGATGCGTTCAATACTGTTTTGACGTTCAGGTGTTAGGTAAGTACTTTCATAAAATAAATTGAGTTTCATTTGATTTTCATTTGTTAATTTTCATTTCTTATCTAATGCAACAACAGATACTGGCTCTTTAATATCACCAGCCCTTTTTTTGAGATATTCAAGCTTTACAGCTTCTGGTACATTTTTACAAACATTAGCCAAACGTTCTTTAAGACTTGAAACAGTTGCGGTTGAAATTTTAAATTCACAAAAATTACAAGCACCACTATAGTGACCGCCTGCTTTTTTTGCATAAAGAGTGAAGTGTGACCAAACTGGAGAGAACTTAGGGCAACATTTTTTGGTTATAAAAGTGGGTGGTGTTGGATCTTGAGTATCTATAATAACAACTGAAATTATTGCAAATAATGTAAAATTCCAACATTTTAACGAAATTCAAAATTTTAATAGTTTTCGTTTATTCCATATAAAAAAAATGGCATTTTATAAAAAAATTTTTTCAGATATTTTTCCCGCTGTCACTCATCTAATATGGTTAATTTTCTGAATGGATCTTCAAAATACATCATAAATATGCAATACTAATAAGTTACGAATAATGCAATAAATATGCATTATAAAATAACGTTATAAATACGAAATACATTTTAAATATGAATACGCAATAAATATGAAAAATACGTAATGCGTAATGTAATAAATTGATAGTTATTTTTGTGTTATTTTAATTAGAGTAATATAATACAAATGTTTTAAAGAACATTTTGATAATAAGTTTAAATAATTAATATATGTTTTATGCATAAATAATATAAATATGTGAAAAGGGTTTTATTTTTTTAAAAAAAATCCTTTATATATATTTCATATTATTTATATATACTATTAGATATTCTAAGTTTGTATTATGTTATTGATCTTATCAAACTTGTTATCAATATATCATATTCATTTTAATCTCACCCTGAAGATAATTTAAACATATCAAGTATTTAAACTGAATTATTTGCAAGTAAAAAATATGATAACTGTAATTACAGCTATTAATAAAATTGTTTTCATAATATATATAATCACATAAAATGCTAGTATTGAATTTTCTATCAGTAATAAAGCTTCTTAAAAGATAATGATCCATTATCTTATAACCAAATAAAGGAAGTTGGGATATTGTCCTTCGTTTGCATTGAGTTTATTTTTTGGTAGAACTTTTTGAAATATTATTGTTAGTATGTGGAGACGCTGAGCGATCTCTTTGTTTAGAGTTCTTTCTCTTAGGTGCCATTTGTGAAAAAGGAGAAAAAGTTTTTTTTGGAATCTTTTTTTTGTTTCTTTTTTTGTTTATTTTTTTTTTTTAAGTGCAGTAGTTTCGCTAAAGCTTTATTGAAAGATAATAATAATGAAATTAAAATTACATATAATCAGAATTAACAAAAATCTCTATCTAAATAATCATGAAACTATCTAAATCAAGACCGACCCTGCATTTTTCTAGAATCTAACACAACCGAAATTATGTCGTCACATTTCAGTAATTAGAAACAGAAAAGGGCTTGACTCCTACAGCACTAAAAATTTATCTAATGAGATCCTAAACAGATCATTTAATTTATAATATTATGAGGCTCTACTGTCTGAGCAGTTGAAGAGAAGTAGTAACCAGATTTTTCAATAAGAGACCTTTTCAGATTGTCAGTGATTTCGTAAGACTTTTCAAAGTCTTTAAATTGTAAACAACAATCTTTCCAAATATCGTTAGATTGTTCAAATATAAAATGCATGAAGGATGATAATGAGCTTCAGTAGCTTCTTTGGAAGTAAGCGATTGATAGATGATGTTATATAAGGTTGAAGGAATAAGACCTTTGATTAAGTAGATGAATGAAAATTGCGTTGAGTTTGAGAGAGACCAGATATTCAATTGTTGAATATCGTGAAGTTGTATATTGTTATGTGTGATGGTACTGAGTAATGACTGAAAGTTTTGAATGAGACAATGTGTTTTGTGAAGTACTATAGGGCAAGTCCAAATATGTGCAAAATTTTCTAGTTCCATTTTATATCTGATGTATAATTTAGCACTATCAAATAAATATGGATGTCATAATTTTAGAACCTCAAGAGTAGAAAACATCTCAAGTATTCGTTGGATCTTTTTCCTTTTGAAAGCAGAAGCATTGTAATTGGTAGCAGCTAAGGCAACATTATCCAAAATGCAAAAAGTGGTGGAGTTCCAATCAATGTTCATATTAGCATATTTGGAATTAATATCCAGATTCAAGAAAGCAGTGAACATCTCAGCTTTGATGATGTTCTTAATAAATTGTCTGATTGGAGAAACAATAGCCAAATTGTTGTAGTATAGCGTCATGTGAGACTGATCATTAATATTAAGATATAGCGCTGAGGAATCCAAGAATGACTTTGCTAGATGATCCACTTTTTCATTATAGAGGTCACCTGAATATGCTTTAATCTTGATCATAGATACTGTTAAGGCTAAAGTATCAATGATTTGAAAGATACAATACTAAATGTGAACGTTGATAATTTTGAGAAAGGGTTATTTAGATGATTAAATTACTGATAATAGTTTATATTTGGAAAACTGCGAGATTAAAGAGCTTGAATCAGTAAAGATCTTAATGTGACACCTTTCTGGAGTGACTAAAATTGCTGTAAATATGGCAGCTAATTCTGCAGCTGAGGAAGAAGGAAAGGACGCTGTAAAGTTGTTGAATAGGAAATCATTGGAGCAGAAGGTGCCATTTGAAGCTAAGTTAAACCCATTCTAATTGAGAAGGAGCCAAGGTCTTTTAAGGAACTATCTGTATAGTCTGTATAGAATTCTAAAGAAGTGCAGGAGTTAAATTAGAAACAAATTGTTAATAATAAATGAGAATGTGATAGAGGAATAAATTTTTTTATGAAAGTAGGAGGGGAGGAGAAATAAAATCTAATGCTGGTATCAGAGAATGTAAAGTACTACGAAGTTTAATAAATGAATAGCCAACTCATTCAGAAGAGCTATAGACCAAGAGCAACCATATGTTAAATTACGAGTATTGTGATTTATTGAAATCTTGAAACAAAGATTGATAGGTACAATGAAAAAACATTTTTGATCCTTATAGGTAGTATGATTTGGAATATAGGCCTGTCTGTCGTACATAGAGCAGCGAGTGCAGTCGGAGAGTATGGTTCTATTCTCAGGTCTATTTGTAGGTAACATATAAAAGATATGTGTATAATGTTCTTCTGTTTTAAGTAATTTACTAACGAAAGGTATATTGTGACATAATTCTACCCTAAAACGAAAGTTATAAGAGCAGCAATCTTGTTGGGTGGAGAAAATCATAATTACAATTATTTGTGTGCAAGTAAGAAATGTTGGTGATTCTAGAATCGCTATTGAGCAATAGTTTGTTTTGAAGCATTTTATACCAGTGAGGTATACGTCCAGTCAGAGGCAAGCCCTGTTGAATGTTAAGATTACCAAATGTTAAGATAATATCACCTTTTGAAAAAATAAGTTGTTCAACGAATAACAGCGAGTATTTCTGAGATTTTTAGTGATGGATCTACAATCATCAGGATTTAAAGAAAATATAGTGATGCTTCCTCCTTTAATAAGACCTGAGTCCACATCAGGCAGTTGAGCTGAAATTTGATTGCTTTTCCAATTACATAAAGCATACTGGACATTTGCATAATTGGCTATTACACAATAAATGTATAACGTAACTATTTATATAGTTTAAAGTAGTATATTGCGTCTGATTTTTGATAATTGTTTTATGTAATGATAAAAAAACTACAATACTATTATTGTAGACGTCGTTTACAACATATTAATGAAAATAATCCCGCTAATCACATATTTTAAAATAAGCAATTCTGAATATTATAATGAAAATTTCAAAGCAGTATTTGCAGAAGAAACTTATTGATGACTTATGAACAATACAATTGGAAACTGAATATTAATAAATTGATATCAATAAGAATAATCCTATTGATATCTTTATAATACCCTGATTAGAATCTTATTGTATTCTATCTGCACTATTATTCGTCATTAATTAGAATCATCTGATTTTAAAAAAAAATAGAAGACCAATCAGATCAAATCTGAATTCTTAGATTTGACCTGATTGGTCTCCTATTTGTTATTATTTGACTAGTGCAAAATGAGTTCATATTATGATAATTTATCAGAAGGTCTTTGAATCGATTAAAATTATAGCAATTATAATAAAAATTAATATATTCAGTATATTTATTTTTTTAGATGAATCTCTTGATTGAAAGTTAGAAACTTATCATTTGTTCTGGAGTATATGAGACCTAGCTTATGTCTGATAATGAATATTAGCAAAAAAAGTGAATACGATTTTATGATCGGATGAATAAAGTTCAGATGAATCCAAGAATAAGTATAAAAAATCTGAAATGAAGTTAGGAGAAGTAAAGATAGTATTAATTCATGAGAAAGAATTTCTAGCACTAAAAGTGAGTTCAGGTGAATTGTAACATATGTCATAAAGGTTTAAGAAATTAAATGCAAATAATCAATGTTAAAACTCAAATTGCCAATGAACCAATGAAGGGTGAGCCATTATTGTGTTAAGACTAATAAATATTGAGATCAGCATTGAAATCTCCTAAAAGAATAATTTTAAAATTTGATTTAATACTATTTTTGATATATTTGAGAATTTCCTTGTGAAATTTGAGTCTATTTTTTTGGATTGAGAAGTTTGAGATGCATGTAAATAGATACTGAAAATGCGAAGTTTGTTATACCCTACTAGAAAAAGATCAATATAAATAAACTGATTATTATCTAAAAAGGTTATTGAATATAAATTACCCACAAACGCTTACAAAAAGGCTGACGTCTGCAAAGGTATTAATACGAGAACTTCAAAAGTGCAAAAATTAAGATTATTTAAATATTAGTAAAATTGATCTGATTTATGTTGAGTTTTGGTAAAATCAATATTAAAATCAATGAAAGTATTATTAATTAAAAGGTTTTTAATTTTATTTTGAAGAGAGTTAACATTATGTATAGCAAATGAAAATGTGGATAATTCTTTTGAAATAGTAGAATTGTGATTTTGGGTGATCATAATGTGATTGTTAATATTATTAGGATTAATAATACTATTCAAAACCTATTTTAATATGTATCTTAAAAATTTAGAAACTATTTCAAAACTATTAAAATGATTTTTTTTTAAACTAAAACTTGATAAAACTTAATTGAGTTTAAGAAAGTTTAGATAAAGATATTTATTATAAACAAATAATTTTATCTCAAATATCTCGAAACTCAAATTTTCTAAAAATAGTTTAGGGAGGCATCTTTAATTAAGATTGTTTAAATTCATGATTTAAAATAAAAGAAGAGGGTGACAATTATTTTAAAGTGAGTTTGTCAGATAATGATATAAGTTGAGTCATCATGATATCCATTCGATTTTTTGTTTAGCAATTATAACATTTTGTTCATCAATAATG